GAATTGTGTGTGTATCTGCTGTTGGGTTTTGGCTGTAAAAATTAAAGTGGGAGATAGGTTATAGGTTCTACAGTTCGAAATAGCATCCCTGTTGAAAAATTGGCGGTAGCCGTAGTCAGGCATTCAGCGGTGTTAAGGCGTTGCGTGTTACCTCCTTGTTATCAGTGTTGTGTGTGTAAGTTCCCCCGTTAAGCTGGCGTTGTCCATGAAGGCAAAGCCGTCGTCGGGGAAGAAGCGGGGTGAGGAGGCGGCCCCCCCCGCCACTGCGGAGGCAGCGAGGATGGAGAATGCCAAGGCGGCCGCCGTGACTGATGTCTCTGCAGAGACTGTGCGCTTCTTGAATATGTTGCCAGTTCCAAGCTATTTTCTCCGTATGGTCTGCCTCTGCGTTTTCAGCCTTATCATCGTTAGGGCAACGTTGGAGGCCTACACTATCCGTTTGATTTCAGTTAATTTGTACGGCAAAGTCATTCATGAATTTGATCCCTGGTTTAACTTCCGTGCGTCGCAGTACCTTGACGAGCACGGGTGGTACGCCTTTTTCCACTGGTACGACTACATGAGTTGGTACCCACTTGGGAGGCCCGTCGGCACAACCATCTATCCTGGTCTGCAGCTCACGAGCGTCGCCATCCGCAGGGTCCTTGCCATGCTGGGGGTAAACATGACAATAAACGATGTGTGCGTTTACATCCCCGCATGGTTTGGGAGCATTTCTACGATTTTATGTGCGCTTTTGGCCTATGAGTCATCACGCTCATTTGCCGGCGCTGCCATAACTGCATCCTTGTTTGCCATCATCCCCGCCCACCTGATACGCTCCATGGCAGGCGAATACGACAATGAGTGTATTGCGATGGCGGCGATGCTGCTCACCTTCTACCTGTGGGTGCGTTCGCTGCGCGGGCCCGGCTCCTGGCCCATTGGCGTGCTGACGGGGTTGGCCTACGGCTACATGGTGTCGACCTGGGGGGGCTTCATCTTTGTCCTCAACATGGTGGCGCTGCACGCCGCGGTGTGCGTGCTTGCCGACTGGCTTCGCGACAGGTACGACAACAACCTCCTGAAGGCGTATTCCCTGTTCTTTGTGATCGGCACGGCGATTGCGACGCATGTGCCGCCGGTGGGGTTCACCCCCTTCAGGTCCCTGGAGCAGCTGCTGGCGCTGCTGGTGTTCATCTTTATGTGGGCGCTGCACTTCTCCGAGATTTTGCGGCGCCGGGCCGATGTGCCGATCCGCTCCTCCAGGGCGCTGCAGATCCGCGCGCGCGTAATGGTGGCCACCTGCACCGCGCTTTTGTTACTCGCGATGCTGCTGGCCCCGCAGGGATACTTCGGCCCTCTCTCCTCTCGCGTCCGCGCCCTCTTTGTGCAGCACACCCGCACCGGCAACCCTCTCGTGGACTCCGTCGCCGAGCACATGCCCACCTCCTTGGATGCATTCTGGGCGTACCTGCACATATGCCAGCTGGGATCTGTGATCGGCTTCATTGTCGTCCTTTTTGCATGCATCGCACGGTACAGCCACGCGAAGTCATTTCTTCTGCTGTACTTCCTTGTCGCCTACTACTTCTCCACAAAAATGAGTCGACTGCTGTTGCTCTCTGGGCCCGTGGCGGCTGCGTTGACAGGCAATCTTCTGGGCAGTGTCATTGATCTTTCCCTGGAGTCGTTGTTTTTGCCGCCCGACGACTCTGAGGACGCGAAGAAGAAGCAGACGAAGAGTCGCCCAAAGGCACAGAAGGAGGTTGGGATGGACGTCGACGTTTACGTTATTGCCGCATGGAAGAAGATGTGTCGGTGTCGACCGCTGCTGGCGGCGGGCATCATTGGCATCCTACTTGCCATGTGTGGGCACATGGTGTTCACCTCTGGCTACCGCGAGCACTGCCACGCCTTTGCCGTCTCCGTGTCGAGCCCGCAGATTATTGTGCAGGCAAAGCTGCACACGGGGGAGGTGGTCATGGTGGACGATTACTACGTGTCGTACCTGTGGCTGCGCAACAACACCCCGGCGGACGCTCGCATTTTGGCCTGGTGGGACTACGGCTACCAGATCACGGGGATCGGAAACCGTACCAGCCTCGCTGACGGAAACACGTGGAACCACGAGCACATCGCCACCATCGGGAAGATGCTCACGTCGCCTGTGGCGGACGCCCACTCGCTCATTCGCCACCTTGCGGACTACGTGTTGATCTGGAGCGGCAATCGAGGCGATGACTTGATGAAGTCGCCGCACATGGCACGCATTGGCAACAGCGTGTACCGCGACATCTGCCCCGAGGACGACCCGCTGTGCTCCAACTTTGGTTTTATAGGCTATGACTTCAGCCGTCCCATGCCTATGATGCGGCGGTCGCTGCTGTACAACCTGCATAGCTCCGAGAAGAGCTCTGAGACGGCGCTCCGCAATAGGTTTAGGCTCGTCTACCGCTCGCGCTACGGCCTGGTGAAGATCTACAAGGTGATGAACGTGAGTGCGGAGAGCAAGGCGTGGGTGATGGACCCGAAGAACCGCAAGTGCGACGCGCCGGGATCGTGGCTCTGCGCCGGGCAGTACCCGCCAGCGAAGGAGATCCAGAAGATGCTGGCGAAGCGCATTGATTACGGCCAGCTGGAGGACTTTAACCGGGGCAAGCGAGACGACGCATACTACAGAGCGTACATGCATCGCATCCGCAATGAACGGCACTGAGGCGTGCGCTGGGAGGCGAGTGCGCCTGAGGAGAGGTAAGAGGAAAAGAAACAAGAAAAAAGCGAGGTTCAATTGGGGTGAAACGTGTACGTAGGTGAAGGGTCGCTGCAGCTTAGGTAGCTGCAGGACGTTGGGTTCAACCAACCCAACGCCCTCTTGGGAGGGAGGGATATAAGTGACAGCAAGTAGCGAGAAAGACCATTTAACAATGAAACAGCAGCAAGAAGTGGGGGTGGTTCGTGTGTGTGTGTGTGTGTGTGTGGCGGCAGCCCCTACACTCGGTTTTGATTGTATCCGTGGTGTTTGTGTACAGCTGGTGTTTAACGTTTCTGTTTATTGGTTGTATGTTTAGTTTTTCATTCCCCAGCGAATCCCTTGCTGGAGGAGCGGTGGGAGTGAAGTTTTTTTTGTAGCTCGGTCCGCCTTGTACCGTGCACGATTGGCATCTTATGCGTTGAGATGGCCCAAACTTTCGTTTTCTTTTGTGCGCTTGTTTGCTTTTCACTGGCTCTTTGAAGGAATAGTGGAGAAAGCCGCTTTCAAGGCGCAGCACTGTGTGCTGTACACGGAGAATATAGGTCAGGTGCGCACTCTTTTTCCGCCGTTGATATATATATATATATATATATATATGTTTGATCTTGCTTGTTTTCTTTTTTTGTTTCTACCAAGCCTGTTTTTTTTTCTTTCCGTCAGTAGTTGTTTTGTTTGTCTTGTTTTTGTAGCACCACCTCAGTGCAGTGGAGGTGGCAGCATTTAATGTGGCGGCGATTCTGCGTGCGGCGGGTGGCGGCGGTGCTTGCGCTGCAGCAGCGTGCGCCTTTGCGCCGTGGTCTTTTGTTGCGGCTCACGGGGTTGGTACTATCGACGGGGCATATGGAACGGGGGTGGCGGGGACGAATGGGGATGGAAGAGGAGAGCGCTGAACAACTTGCCGCTGAGGTGAAGACCACGAGGAGTGAGTTACAGCTCATGGCGGCAGAGGCAGACATGCAGCAAACGGGCAGCGAGCGCATTCCTGGGGTGGGCGAGAAGGATTGGACGGAGCCCACTCTGGAGGATCTGGATCGCTCCATTCCTCAGGTGGACTGTGCGTTTATCGCCAACCTCATCCGTGCCCGCACCGCGCGCCGGAAGGAGTTTTTGCAGAAGAAGACGAAAGTGAATGCAAAGGTGGCCGCGTTAAGCAAACGCCAGGCGTCGTCGGTGTTGCAAGCTGTCAAGTTTCCTGTCCTAGGTGCAGGACGCGGCCGCGGTAACGTTGGCAGTAGTGATGGCCTTACTGCAGTGACTGGTGGCAGCAACGGCGACGACGAGGATGCCGTGGTGACGGCCTCACCGGAGGTTGTTGCGCAACTCACCGATGAGGAGCGCGACGTCCTGCTCCACTCCCGGCCGGAGTACGATGACGGCTTTGTGCTGCTTGACTGCCGCACTGTGAATGAGGTAACATCGTGGGGTATGATTGAGGGCGCCAAGCTGCTGCCGGCACACGAGATGTTCGACGGCTTTCACCTGACACCGGAGGAGTTTGAGGTGGAGTTTGGTTTTACCAAGCCGCGTCCGGAGCAGAAGGTCATATGTTACTGCCAGTACGGCCCGCGCTCTCTGATGGCGGCGCAGATACTGACCTGGATGGGCTACATGAACGTGCTGCACTTCCGTGACGGATACTACGAGTGGGGAAAGCAATACAATCTGCTGTTGCGCCGCTGGAGGCTGCACGGCAAGGAATCTGGTAATGAGGATAGGAGATAGGTGACATTTCAGGCAGGACTCGAGCTGCAGCGTGAGATTGCGCCGGAGTTCAACGCGCTGCCGATGCAGGAGGCGGCCCTCTACAAGATCGACTTCACGCGAAGCCGAGGGAAGATGCTCGTGGGTGCGGGGGTGCGTGAGGAGGCAGGCAGGCAGGTCGAAGAGCTGATGTTCAGCATGCAGCCGTTGCTGCTTCCCGGTGTCCTTGACGACGCCGACCGTGCGGCTGGCGAGGCAAACAGCAGTGCGGTTGGTAAACGTGAGGAATATCTTCAGCGTTTCCTGCAGCAAACGACAGTCCATGGGCGTGGCGGAGGTGCAGCAAAAAGTGATGGATGCCTTTACGCGTCGCGATGGGGGCAGTCACTCGCAATACCGTTAAAGAAAAACAAAAACAAAAAAAAAGACGGATTTCTTCATACGTGGTGCGCACACCGCCTTTCACTCGCTCACTACATTTTTTTTTTTTTTTGTAGGCATCTGCGCTTTGGTGCTCGCTGCGGCGTAGCTTCCCAGGTGGGGAGGAAGGAGAGGCGTTTTCTGTAGCCTCTTGACGTTTGCGTGGGTTTTGTCCTCCTCCTCTTGCAACATGCGCGGCTTTAGACCGTTGTGTCCCGCTGTCTGTCTGTCCGTGTGTGTCTGGCGGCGCCTGTGCCTCAGTGTTTTGTTTTGTTTCGTTTTTCATTTTTGTCTTTCTTTCTTCCCTCCATGTTTTTCCCCTGCCACACAACAAACACCTCCCTCCCCTCCTTTCTGGTGGGGACGCTGCACGAAAAGCATATCTCCACTCACGCGTCATTGCAACAAAACACTCAAACGAAAAAGAAAAAAACAAGGCAAAAAGGTTTTTTTTTTTGAAGGTTTAAAAGCTGCAGGCAGGCAACCAAAGATCTGAGGCTTACACGTCATTAAGAATAAAAAGAGAACGGAGGAGACAGAGAGAAGAGGAATTTTTGCAAGGCAGTCCAGCAGCAACCGCAGCAGCAAGCAAAAAAAACGGCGGCGGGAAAAGTGAATACTACGAGACGAGGCAAAAGGGCAAGTCAGGAGTTAAACTTTAGCAGGTGAAAAGGGTGGACGGGGCACGTCCAGCGCCATCTGATTTCCACTCGTCTTTTTTTTCAATATTTTTTCGAAGGGAGAAAACAGAACCAAACAAAAACAAAAAACATCGGATCTTTCAAAACAACCTCGTTAAACGGTAAGACTATATATATATATATACAACAAACGGTGATGACGGACGGCCAATCTTCTGCCTCTGTCGTGGCCGTGGACCCTGAGAAGGCCGCCGAGGAGCGTGATCGCGTGGCCCGTGCCCTTCTGCAGGACGATTCCCACAGCACCCGCCTGCAGTACACCACAAGTGGCGTCGAGCTCACTGTGCCCTTCACGCTCAAGGTGATCGCGGGGGCGGATGCGATGGCGCGTGCCAAAGAGGTGGCGGATGAGGTCCTTCGCTCCGCCTGGCAGCTTGCCGACACGGTGCTGAACAGCTTTAACCCCAACAGCGAGGTCTCATTTGTGGGGAAACTGCCGGTAGGGAAGAAGCACATGATGTCTGCCCCGCTCAAACGCGTGATGGCCTGCTGTCAACGCGTCTTTAACTCCTCCCGTGGCAGCTTTGATCCCGCCACGGCGCCCCTCATAGATGCATTGCGGGCGGCAGCGGCGGGGCGTCCTACGGTGTCGGAGGAGCAGCTGCAGAAGCTCATGACGGTTTGCACCATGCCCAACAGCTTCCAGATTGACATCGCCGCGGGCACAATATCCCGCAAGCACGAGCACGCTCGCCTTGACCTGGGTGGGGTGAGCAAGGGATACATCGTTGACTACGTCGTGGAAAAGCTCAACGCGGCCGGAATTTCGGATGCGTACTTTGACTGGGGCGGCGACTGTCGTGCGAGTGGCACCAACATACAAAACACGCCTTGGGTGGTCGGTATTGTGCGGCCACCGTCCCTGGAGCAGCTGCGAAACCCTCCGGAGGAGCGTTCCTACATCCGCGTCGTTTCCCTTGACAACGACGCGATGTGTACGAGTGGAGACTACGAAAACCTAACAGAGGGGGCCCATAACAAGCTCTACACTTCCATTTTTGACTGGAAAAAGAAAGGCTTGATTACTCCTTCAGCAAACGAGCTGGCGCAGGTCTCCATCAAGTGCTACAGTGCAATGTACGCCGATGCGCTTGCCACGGCGAGCCTCATCAAGCGCGACATCGTCAAGATGCGGTACATGCTGGAGGAATGGCGCTACGTTCGTGACACCGTTAAGGATTACACAACCTACACACGTGAGAACGAACGTGTCGCTCGTCTGTATGAAATCGCAAAACAGAGCGCTGAGACTCGCAAGAAGCGTATCGCCGGCTCGCTTCCCTCCCGTGTTGTCATTGTGGGTGGCGGCCTCGCCGGGTTGTCGGCCACCATTGAGGCCGCCGCCTGCGGCGGCCAAGTCATCCTGCTGGAGAAGGAGTCGAAGCTTGGCGGCAACAGCGCCAAGGCGACGTCCGGCATCAATGGCTGGGGCACGCGTGCGCAGGCGCTGCAGGATGTCCATGACGGCGGGAAGTACTTTGAACGTGACACACACAAATCCGCCCTCGGCGGCACCACCGATCCGGGCCTGGTGCGCACCCTCTCCGTCAAGAGCGGGGATGCCATTAGCTGGCTCTCCTCGCTGGGGATCCCCCTGACGGTGCTGTCGCAGCTCGGTGGGCACAGCCGCAAGCGCACGCACCGCGCCCCTGACAAGGCGGATGGGACACCCGTGCCCATCGGCTTCACCATCATGCGCACGCTTGAGCACCACATTCGCACGAAACTCGCGGATCACGTGACGATCATGGAAAAT